TAAGTGTTTTTGAATTCTTCCCAACCCAGAAACGGCGCAATTTTCATGCATTGCCCTCTTACGTTCTCAAAACAGCCGCGCTTTGCCTTAAAATCATTCTGAACTCACTTTGTAGAGGAAGGATATCTGTGTAGACGAGGGAGCAGCAAGTTTTGTATCCACCTCCATGGCCACGGGAATGTTGCACGGAACCCATGCAAGAAGGGCATCTTTGTGTAACGATGGTGCGGTTAGCTGACTTGCAAGTAGGCGATGCAAAACCTAAACCAGCTACTGAAATTGGTGTAGAAATGAGACAGTCGTCATTCAGTCTCGTCAGGTTTTGGAGCAATTCGGCTTGAGCCCACCGCCTTGTTCATTGTTTACAAGCTTTGACAAGCACTCTCTACAAACTTTGACTGACATCGCTTCATGACTGGACAGGATCTCACAGATCTCTGCTCAATGGCCACGATGGTTCGAGAAGACAATGGAAAGTAGCGAAGGTGCAAAAGGCCCCCCAAGCCGAAGTGTGTCTACGCATTCTTTGCTAATTCCTGGGCAAGTTATTCTTGTGCTTAGAAAAGCAAAGATTGAAAGCTGGAACTCACTTCAGCGTTGCACTGCTTCCTTGTCTTGTGCACCACCTGTAGAACACGTCCCACAAAATGCACATCACCCTTGTCGAGTAAAGCACAGTGTTCTTTGATATCTACACAGAGAAACATTGAAAACGACAAGAGAAGAAAAACAAGCACATATTAGTACAACAGTCAGACAGAACAATAAAACCTACTTTCCACTGCGATTGCATTGAGATCCTTTGGTGGTTCTTTTTCCTCAACTTTAGCCGGTTCGTCAACCTCCATTTTCTCAGTGGATGGAGCCGGATTCGCCATCGGTGCCATATCTATTTTCGTTAGATGGGACAAGTAAGAAAAATAAAACGGAACTGCCACTGAAAACACAGTGCGACCGCCTCTTATCGAAGGAGCAAACTGACTGAAGATTGAAAACTTTGATAAAGAAGGAAGATCTAGAAATACTGATCATAATATACCTCACAATAATAGGCGACAATTAATCGTCATTGACCCAATTTGCTGTCTGTTGCTCCTCAATGCTCGATTTCAACCAGTTCACAATAGTGGTTTTATATGAGACAAACGCGTACGAATTCGCTTCCGCGACCAATAGTAATTAAAAGTTTTTCCCCTTTCGTCATGTTTCTTGTTTCTTATCATAGAATAAAGTAGTTTGCGCCGTTTCTCAACAAGGCTTCGAGGAGTTTACCGGCAATACCTTCACAATAAGGTCACTGTCTTGATTCAAAACCTCTCAGTTTCTATTGGTTTAAAATGCGTCACATAAAACAGCCCATAAATTTATCGTCGGCAGTTGTTAAAATCAGGAACTTGATATTTGTAACTTTAGAACCAGAGCTTGATCGTTAACATGCTCTTGTTTTGAGGTTGTCTTATCCTAAACGAAAGTTAGGAATTATGCTACCTTTCTCAACCCAAGTGGGTTTAAAGGATACTCTATTACCTCTGCACGATTCTTTCCCTTACAAAAACTAGGGATACAGAGAACTCTAAAGCCCCTTAGCGGTTACAAAGGAGCACGCTTCCTAGAGCTACTGGTCACTGACGCCAGGGCACGTCTTACGATTGAACTTTCCAGTGGGGGGAATTTGCTCGTCGATCTGAGAAGGGGGCCGTATGCTGTTTTGTGGGAAGAGATTTTTCCGGTTTTTGACTATTTTTCGTGGTCCCGTCACTGGTGCAGCCCCCCCCCCCCTTCCTCCGCTCGATGGCAGAATTTACGGGAGAAAAGTTGGAAAGGAAATCACCGGAAATGTGGCAAGAGGCGGAGAGAAGTGGAGGACTGGGAAGGGAGAGGGGTCGAATTCCCCAAGTACATATTTTCCCTAGCGAGAGGATGTGCCCTGACTGTCGCTCGTCTTCGTTACGAAACCCTTTGAGCATCTTTTCAAGCATAGATGCTTCTTTCCAGCCCTCCTATAGTTATTTGAACATTGCCTACGTTCTTCTAGCAGTTGCGTAAACATCCCGCATGTTCTCTGCCATCGGCTCATTTTGCAAGGGTTTTTTCTCAGCTATGCAAACTGATTGGTGCACTTTGTTGTACGAGTTGTCTTGTGCGCCACCGTCAAAAAAACGCGCACCTTCTGCGGTGCGGAAGGGTCCCGCCACGAAAACAATTCAAATTTCTGGAATTATCGAGGCTCCTTTAAAAGGCGGGAGGCACGGGTGACGTCATCACTTAACCTTCATCGTTTATGTCTCTGAGGTGAGACCAGCCAGAACCAGATCCTTCTCGTGTTGAAGCTTTTCCTTGCTCTTGCTGCTTGGTTTCGCATCGATTTCCCTCTCCTCATGAACAATTCCTGTGTTTTACATGACTTTGTTTCCTGTGCTTCTTGTTTATTTCTCATTTTTGCCGGTTGCGATGTTCTCTCCTGTGATTATTCACATATACGTTCGTTGTGCGATGGTTTTGGTGGTTCCGTTCCACGCTCAATCAATATCATTCCATTTTCTTTCAATTAACCATTGCAACCACTGCATAAATCGGGTCCGATTGCACAAATCGATGCTGTTTGAATATAATTTATTTAAAACTGAAAGCTGATTCCATTTTACTAAGTAAAAGGCTGAATGTTTGTACTTGATAGTGGGTTTCCACACATACCTCCTAAAGTCCATGTTATTCAAATAAAAGTCGCCCGGTGTTTAACCGTAAATAGAT